TAAAGATATAGAGAATCTTTGTTGGTCTGGTGGAGACATAGGCCATAATTGGACCGGGAGCCCCATTGGTCCCATTGAAGGTTTTGACCAGCTAGTACACCCCAGATGGCCATGGGCGAGCATCTACTCAATCGGTGACCTCAGAGGTCCAGGAGCCTCAGTGTGGCTCAGATGCTCACAATCCTGCATACACCCACATTATTTGGTGCATGCTTTTTGCTGCATGATTCCTAAGATGAATGTTGATTGATAACTCTCCATGACCTGAGTCCCTTGTTCCTTGCAGTAGATACCTATCTTGTTGAGGCTGGCAGTGGACATTGGCGGAGTAAGCTGATAGCATTCGCTAAGCTGCCCAGCATCGTGATAGAATACATCGTAACCACCCAAGGATCAAATACTTAGCAGAGAAAGGAGGGGAAGGGAGCCGTGGCCATCCTCATCTCTTGTGGATCTACCCTGATCCTTTCAAGAAGTTATTGTATGGAGCCAAAGAACTCCACATTCACACCGACCATAAGAACCTTACTTATGCCAACCTCAATTCACAGCGTGTCTTACGTTGGCGCCTCTTCCTAGAGGATTTTAATACGATATTCCACTATATCAAGGGAGAAAGTAATACTTTAGCAGACGCTCTCCGATGAGATTATGCCATAGGAGCCATATTTTGGGTGCGGCGCAGCTTTGCTGGCTCAGTCTGGTGAAAGATCGCTGCTGCATCTGTACACTCTTTTAGTACAATGAGCTGTGTCACACAGACAAGATAGAACAGCTGAAGGACATATAGTCCTCTGCAAGGAAGGATTATGCAGCTCCTCAGCCATAACCTATCTAGAAAAATAGCTTGGTATATACCACCCAAAAGAGATGCATGGAAATGTATCCTGCATCTCGGCTGGATGGAGTTTCACGCATAATCAGAGTTTGTGTTTAAATTATAGTTTAAAGAAGTATTGAAGAAGTAGTTGACCAGATACAGACCCAACAGCACAAGTAAGGCTCTGCAGTAGACAGGATCCTGTATGGCCAGTGCCAGGGTATTGAGCAATTAGACTGTGCAATCATTTGCTGTCACAGTGATGAATACATTGGCTTGCGCCTAGGCTGGCCCCTCCAGCGCCAGTGGAAGGAGATCTCCACCAACAGAGCGCTCCATCCCAGCTCTTGTGGCTGCTTGTTCCACATACCATGTGGGTACCAGTAACATAAGGCAGACAGTTTGTTCTCACACTCACCACGTTGATCCCATGGATCCAACCCACATTTTATCGCCATAGAGCATCGAGCGATACTCATTAAGCGTATACACAATGGAAAGGAGTTCCTTCTCCATTGTGGTATAGTTGCGTTGAGCCGAGTTCAACTTACGTGAGTAGTATGCAACAGGATGATTGTCTTGTACGATCACGGCACCAAGTTGGTAATCACTACCGTCTGTGTAGACATGGAAAGGCTTGTTATGGTCTGGATAACGGACGAAGATGTCCTTGGCCAGTACTGCTTTGGCTTGTTCAAAAGCACGTTGATGGATGTCTTTCCATACAAACCCCCTAGACTTAGATGTCAATTCGTAGAGTGGGTTGAGTGTGTGAGATCTCTTGGGAAAGAGCTCACAATAGAAGGTGACGGCACCAACAAAACTGCGAACATCTTTGATTGTTCGGGGTTGCTTAAGTCGCAAGATGGCATCGATTTTCTTGCACCACGGTTTGAGTCCTGTAGGCGTGAGCCAAAAACCTAACCAATCTGTCTCTTGGACAGCCCACTCACACTTCAGAGGATTGATCGTGAAGTTACTGTCCTGTAGTTTTTGTAGGACAATGTCGAGTGTGCGCAAGTGGCCTTGCCATGTCTTGCTGAAACAACCGACGTCGTCAATGTAGACTTCTGTGTCGTCCACGTCGTTGAGAATGCTCTCCATGACGGCTTGGGCAAAGTCTGGAGATTGCTTGACTCCCATCGGTACTCTGTTGTAGCGATACAACCCAAAGGGCGTGTTGATGACGCACAAGTCTTTGGCTTCATCCGAGAGTTCGAACGTGTAGTACTGCATGGAGATGTCCAGCTTCGTGAAGAACCTGTAGCCAGATCTTTTCTTAAGAATATCGTGTATTCTTGGCAACAGATGGCATTTCCGTTTGATTACCTCGTTGAGGGCTCTAAAGTCGGAAATCCATCGAATGCGTCCATCCTTCTTGGGAATGACGAAAGTAGGAGCCGCGAATTCGGCCCATTCCACTTTGGATAGAACACCAAGTTCCACCAGTCGCAAAAGTTCTTCCTTGAACACTTACCTGTGTGCCTCAGGTATGCTGTATGGTCGTTGAAACTTGAGTTTGTCACGACCTCCTGGAAGCAATTCCAGATGCATTTTACGTCCTTGTAGGCACCAAGCTTGCCACTAAACAGTCGAGTGTACTTGCTCAAGACTGCATGTAGTTCTCGTTTCTGCGTGACAGACAACTGTTTTTGTTGTTGAACAACATTGTTGATGTCGACTTTGTCATACTTGGACGACATAATCTTCTGCTGACCGGCTTGGAAGCACTCCTCAAGAGGATCCATTTCTTCGGCTTGACAGAAGAAGCTATCGTCCTCGTCCATGGCAGTCAACAGTTGCTGTTGAACCTGCCGGAATTGTTCCGTTGCTTTGGGTGCAACACGGTACGGTACTATTTCCATATATTGTTGTGGCGCTGACGCATCAGGCGTCCACCTAAGGACTTGTCGACTGTTGTAGTTGTCAATCCCGATTGCTTCTAGGAAGTCACGTCCTAAAATTACATCGAAAGAACTCATTCCTTCTGAAAGGTAGAGGGCAAAAGGCGTGACTCTATGTTTAGTAGGACTAAACTCAGGCATGGCAATGTCCTGTACAACGACTCCAGATTGGGTCTGAGTTGTCGTGTGCAATACCTGCACTTTGCTTCTTTTGAAAGCTCGCACGTCACATCCATGTGGGAGTGCTTGCTTGTAGATGTAACTACGTGTTGATCCCGGGTCAAACAACGCTCCCAAAGGTGTCTTGGACACACTTCCTCCGATTTCACGCATGACCACTATTGAGCTAGGAGAAGCTAATGGATTGGCTTTCCTTGGTACAACTATTTGTTTATCATTTACATTCCTACTCACTAAGTCCGATGACGGATCAAACAAGGTCTTCAGTCGCTTCATACACTGCGGTTGCGACACGAGTGTCTTGCAACGCGGCAGCATTAGAAACGATCACGGGTTGCGAACGCCAATCGCGTGTATTCTGGTTGCTGCTCAAAGAGCGCTCTCCAGGCAATGGCGATGTTTTCGTCCCCGATGTTCTTGAAGATCGAAACGCACGATTCCAGTTCCTGTTGTGTGAAGGAGTGCAAGTGATGTGAGTCGAAGAGCGACTGTGGTTTGTTCTGCGTGTTTGCTTGGGTCTTACCGGAAGAGTTCTGGAAACCGGGTTCCACGACCTCAACGTCATCACCGACCGCGTGATGCTCATCCTGTTGATGATTGTGGTCACCGCCACTTGGCTTCTTATTGGACGGTTTGTTGTTCCTATTGCCAGTCTTGGCCTTGGAGTTAGGATTGTAGGCGTTGGACCAGCAATCCTTCCAAGTGTGGTTGGAATTCGGGTGAATTGGACAAGGGGCGTCATCTGCAAGACGACCACCTTCCGTAGTGTTAGGACGACGTTTGCCGTTGCTTCCCTTGTAGTGTTTCATGACGAAGGCTTTCCCTTCGCTACTGTCGCCTTCTGGCGCTGTTGATTGCGCGAAGCTGCCGAGTCAGCTTCCACTGCACGATCATGCATGAAAGACGTCACGTCTCCCATTTCCTTATCATCAAGAGTCTTGCCGTGGATCTTTTCGTACTCCGTGACCCAATTCGCTGGATATGAATCCAGATAATGTCGGAGCAATGCTACCCCTTCTGGCACTGGATGAGTGCCACGAAGCCATTCTGCGGCTTCAACTGCGACTAGGTAGTCGTCTTCCCACTCGTGACACTCGATCTTTCGAGGCTTTCGGGAGACCTTGAGGCCTTCCACTTGATTGAACCGAGCTACCTCTGTAGTTCGAGAGCCAACGAATGTCTTAAGACAGGCCGTGATATCGAAATCGACGGCCATCTGTGCTGGTTGATCGCCTTGAGCCGGTACAGCAGCAATACGTGCCCTGTACTTGGCCAATGCCTTGTCGTAGGCTGTCAAAGCCGTGTCTGTGAGACACTTCCGATACAACACAGATTGTTGTTCATGACTGAGCTGCAAGTCTGCGACAGACTTTGCATATCCCATGACATGAGCGATCATGTCTGCTGGAGGTCCAGCTCTTCGTAGACGCCAATGAGAAAAATACCCAGACTGAGCTCCCACTGCGTACTTGAAATTTTTGATCTTCCGTTCCTTTTCTTCTTGGACTGGAGGAAAAGGCATCAGCTGTCGCTTCTGCTGTCGCCTTTCTTCTTCAGGAGTCATGGGCTTCGAGAAGGAATTCGTCATGGTTGATTTGCTTTGTGTTTCGTTTTCGCTTGACTAGTCGAGTTGCGAGAGCATCAAATGCTTCTGATCAGAGTACAGTAGCCCTCTAAAGTAAAAATTATGCTATATCTTGTACAGGCAGATACCAGTCTTTTATTGGCTACCAAACTTGTAAGGGAGCCAGGCAACCACATATTTGGTTGTCATTCTCAACCAAATTGTGGAGCTGGGCCAAAGAGCATGCCAGCCTAGGACAGGCTGGCTCTTATCTATTTCAGCTGTGCAGCCTTAGCACTGCACTGAGTCCAGTCAACCAGTGCGGTGCCACTCAGTGGCACCGGTAGCATAGTGCTTCTTTTCATTTCACCGGTTCTTTTATTCGCTGTCGGTAGTAAACTTGAATCCCACAGAAGCACCTCTGTTCTCTTACACCTCTAAGCCCTCAGAGCTCCTGTACCGGTATCTAAGCGGCATCTCCAGGACGGGCGCCCCTCGTCCACAAAAAACGGCTATTGAGAACGCAGGGGGATGGGGTAACAAATTAATTTAAAACATTTAAGAATACTCTAAATAATCAAAATGCATGGGTAAAACCTTATTTTATTGTGATTAATAATTACTCCATATACCTAAAACGACTCAACCCTCTACAGGCTGCTTTCGCGTCCTGACGACGCGAAAGCAGCCTGTAGAGGAGTTATCAGGAACCCAGAAGCGGTTGATTTGTGCTTTTTCTTTCCTACCCATTGTCACTGCTCTTTACAATAGCTGATAGATGTAGCAAGCTACTGGTAGCTAGTAGATAGCAAGCCAAGAGCAGTCATTTCACTGGAGGCCCCACTTCAAGGCCACCTCACTACAGTAGTTACCCCCCCCTACAATACTACACTTGCCGGTACCGCTAGCTAGCCCCCACCTCAAGCAGCCTGACCGTCATCATAGTCGGCATCCTAGACACGATTCGATTCGATTCGATTCATCATTCTTCGTGTAAACAGAAGCTTCCGCTTCCGTCACGAAAGAAAAGGATGCGGACTGGATCGTCGATGTGTCACATGCAATCGATCAACACTCCCACAATCCACAATCTCTCCAAAGTACTGTAGAAGCAAGCTAGACTAACACAACTTATCTACTATAAAACCAACCATGGACGCATTCAAGAAACAAGACACTCTCAAGCCTTACTTTGACACTGCCTATGGCTATGCCTTTTTTGGGACCATTGCCAAGGGCGGCATGGGCGTGGGTGGCGCCGTCGGCAATGGCGTGGTCTATGTAAATAACAAGGATGGAACAGAGACTCGCGCCGGTGATTCCAACATGATCCAATTGAGTTTTGGATTTCAATTTGGTGGTCAAGTCTATTCGGAAATTATTTTCTTTGAAACCGAACGCGACTTTCAGTTCTTTACGGCTGGCAATTTTGAATTTGGCGCCGACGCCAATGTCGTGGCATTGACGGCGTCTGCTTCGGCCAAGGTATCCACAGTGGGCAATCAAGGTCTTCAAGCAGGAGTGTCGGGCGATGAAATCGTGGTGGACAATATGGGCTTTGCCGGACAGGTCAACTATACCAAGGGTATGGCAGTCTTTACCATCATGAAGGGAGGACTCATGTACGAGGCTACCGTTAGTGGACAAAAATTCAATTACACACCTGCGGGAACAGCATCGACGACAACACCAGCATCGGCGACAGAACCTGCATCGGCGACAGAAACAGCCGCAACTAGCTAAATCAACAAGACCATGGCAAAATGAGACTTAGAGAAGAAGAGAGAACGAGGCGACATCTATCTGCATGAAGATTTATAGAAATCAAAGAATCGAATCCAAGTAAGCAAGCAATCAACCAAAAAAATAATCTAACCAATAATCTACCGAGAGAATGAATTCAATCAAATCCAGTATCTACATGCTTGGCCCTTCTATAAAGGGAGAGTGTAAAGAGTACCTTCTTTGAGTAGAGTCATCTCTGTCCCATCACTCCCCCCCTCCCATGCTAGTACAGTACAGGTAGCAATGAATTTCCCCTTTTCACTCTATTTGTGTACCGGTACGTTGCTGCCTCTCTATATCTACTTCAAACCCTCAATCCCAACAATACTATCAAAGCAAGTCTTTATGCCGCTCCGTTGCATCTCAACCAATTCAAAACTGTACTCCCCTCCTTCAAATTCTTTCCAAAGAGCTATTCCTGCTAATTCGTCTGGGTGACAGGCATACCAAGAGTTGGTATACTGGTGTCGTGACGGTCTTGTCACGGCGGTTTTTAGTTCGGTGGGACCATTCGTGGAATGATTGGTCTTCTTCTTGAGGATGATGGTCTTGTGGGGCGCTGGTATTACTAGTACTTCCCTCAGACTACCAGTACCAGTACTATTAGATGCACAATTCTTTTTATAGGGCATGACAAAGACATTGAATTTCTCTTCAAATGCTTGAACATTGTTCTGTCCCCTCAAAGAGGTCCAGCCACCACGGTTGTGGCTGCCGTCTTGGTAATAATATTCAAAGGACACCAATGACCACTCCTCCGGGTCATCACTGGCACTCAACTGTTGCTCCATGGAAATTGTCATGCGGTGATGGGTTTGATACAAGTCTCCTTTTCCCTTGCATGCAGCAGCTTGGTTATTATCAACAACAAATCTGGAAGCCAATTCGATTCGCAGATAAGGATAGAACACATCCAACACGGTGTACCGTTCCCACGACGCTTCCTTTCCCTGGTAGCGGTATAACCACGTGTACGAATCGCCTGCTTGAAAGCGTTCCTGAACAAGCTGGTAGCTCAACCAAGGTCGGTGGTTGTTGTGGTCCTTGATGATTCTGCTGCTGCTGCTGTTTGCAGTAGTAGACATATGTTTGAAGGATACTTTTACGGCTGCCTGGCAAATCTCCCACTGGCTGGGTAGGAAAGGAGTGTGTGGCAGCCGAGCAGTAGCACAGCCTTTCAATCTATCCCACCGCATCAGAATCTTCCTATGCCAACTTCAGCCCTCCCTCTACTTTTCCTATCGTCCCATGCATACAGTATGGACTTCCATTCAAAAGCCCACTTCAAGCATCAAAGTCAGTTGCAAGAGTCTGTTGCAAGCTCAAGAGTTTGAGGCGGAAGACGAGCGACGAGACGACGGAACTGACTTCGGCTTCCCGTATCCTGATCGCTAATGGTGTATCTTTCCAAAGGTATCTTTCCGATTCCCAAAAGATCTTTCTCGTTCGTTTGGCTTCAGCAAGAATCAAGGCTTCCTGATGGTACCATTACTCGGAACACCATCTACAGTACGGTATCTTCCCTCCAGCTTCTATTGTTCTTATCCCTTCATGGCCATAAACAGAGACAAGAGAGCTCTTTGAAAGGATCTGATTATAATACATTATCATTCTGAAAGAGTGCCCACGATCGAGAAGCAAGATGACCATGGAAGACCTCGAGAAGCAGTATTCTACACAACTGGAAGAACTCCGTGCCGAACTCAAGGAACAGATCTTGCCCGAAACTACCGATGCGGCCGCACTGGACCAATTCGTGTCGAGCACTGCCTTGGACGACAAGTTGGTGCAGTATGTCATGCTCTACGAAGCTACGCCCAAAGGATTGGCAGAGTTTGCCTCCCAGAATGCTGAGAATGCAGCCATGATTCAATCGCTATTGAGCAACACGGCCTTGCTGAAAGAAATGCTCTTGGCCGACAGTCCCATGGCCTCGCAAAAAGGACGGGGCGCGTACAAGTGGAGTCCAGCTCTCTACGGACCAGCCATGAAAATCTATAGTGACATTTTGGAGGCCAGTGAGCATGCCTCCAAGACGGATACTATTTTGGGTCGACTGGCTCTGGCCATTGCCTTGGAACTCGCCGTTCCGTTGCCCCAAGAAAACCCCAAGACACCTCCGGACGGTGCCGATGAATTTGTAGATCCTGTCCGACGCTATCTGAATTACGAAATGGCGTTTCTCGACGGAGAATTGGACCCGGCTTTTGAATTGTTGTCCGCCTGGGAATTGCGCTTTGTGGTGGATGGTGCCGAACCCGATGAAACGCTAGTGTGGGGCCGAGAAATGCTCAAGAATTACCGACCCGACAATATGTTTGGCGGATATGCCTGGCGTTATTCCAACATGGTCCGCTCCAATGTGCGCTATTGGTCAGGAGGTTTCAAGTATGATCAACCTCATATGCAGCAATATCAGAACATTCTCATGAATGGTGGCGTCTGCGGCCGCCGTGCCTTCTTTGGACGCTTTATTCTGAGAGCCTTTGGCATCCCCACCACGGCACGGCCCAGTCGAGGGCATGGTGCCCTCTGTCATTGGACTCCCAACGAGGGTTGGGTCGTCAATCTAGGTGGTGGCTTTGGGTGTGGATGGACCAAAACGCGTTACGTCAATTGCGGCGACTTTTACGTTACTACCCAAGCCCGGAACAACGCAGAAGATTACTGGAAAGTCAAACGGGCCCAATGGATTGGTGATGTCATGGAAGAAACAAGAATCTATGGTGAACACGACGGTGCAGCCGAAAAGAACCTTGGCTTTTGGTATAAGCTGTCCTTGGAGACACAAAAAGCAATCATCGAGGCGTTTCCCAATAAAAAGGCGCCACCTCGAACGCTCACTGGCGATCACAAGCCAACCATTGCAGAGAAGATCCAAGCGGAGAAGACGCCACCCTCGCAGGTTCGATACGAAGATGGTGGAGTCATCAAGATACCCGCCGATGCCTTTATCAATCCACGACAGACCAAAGACGTCCAAGTCATGAAGAGCTTTCTATTTGGAGGCAATCAGATCTACCTGCCTGAATTCTCAACGCAAGGCCTATCCGTGCTCCGTTCGAGCACCTGGAAGTCGGATCCGCAAGGATGTCGCTCTGGCTTTCGGCTCAAGAGTGGTGGCTACGGCCAATACCATGATTGGGGGTTTCGTGTCGCCATCACTGGTGTCGATGCCTCTAGTAGTTGTCCCAATGAAAGCATGACAGTGGACCTTGCGCATGATGGCAAAGTCATGATGGATTTTGTCTACATCAAGCCGGGAACCTTTGTCATGGGCGGCGAGAATGAGACAGACGACCGATTCCTTTGTGTTGAAGTCCCCAAGCACGAGGTGACCCTCACGAGAGGCTTTTGGCTTGGCAAGTACCCCGTGACGCAGGCCCAGTATGAAATCATCATGGGCTCCAATCCCAGCAAATCAACAAAGGATCCTGATTGTCCTGTGGATAATATCGGCGAGGGTGATGCACTGGAGTATTGCGAGAAGCTCGTCGAAACCATTGGCAAGGACTTTCGCCTGCCTACCGAGGCCGAGTGGGAGTACGCTGCTCGTGGAGGTCAAGGTGACACAAGGTTCTTTTTTGGTGACGACGAATCCTTGCTGGGAGATTACGCCTGGTTCAATGGCAACTCCGACGGCAAATCGCATCCAGTGGGGCAGAAGAAACCCAACCCCTTTGGTCTCTACGACATTATCGGCAATGTATTGGAACGCTGCTCCGACAGGTACGACAAGGACTATTACAAGAACAGCCCCTCGGTTGACCCAACAGGACCTCAACAGGGAACCAAATCGACCTTTGAATACAAGATCAACGTCCCACAGGCCGGCAACTACCTCGTAGAGGCAGAGGTGGTTACCGCGAATGCAAAGCAACGATTGAACGTGATGGTGAATGGCGATGAAGCCTCAACTGCCGTCATAAACATGCCTTGTACGAATGGCTACTGGCAGGATTCTGAGACCGTGACAATTGCCTTGAAGCAGGGTGAAAACACTCTTCGGTTCTTGCGTGACAAGCCACCGCAGCTGGGAATTTCCATCAAGGGTTTCACCGTCAAGCCAGCAAATTAGAAAGTGATGGTGCACATGACAATCTTATCCAGGACAGCGAAGGATTTTGGCTTCCATGATCCGGAGACACACGGAGGCACAAAACAGACTGATTGATTGAAAGAAGTTGTGCCCACTATAGTTTTACATGTAGTTAAACGACCATTTCACTCTAGCTCATGATGCAAATTTCAAAGTCGGATTCCACCCCGACCGCACCTCCCATTGCCTCCCCACCGCCCTATTACGGATTGCGAAGCTCGTACAGTACGGGATCACTCGTCTTCGCCTGATTCTTCGTCTGATGAGGATGAAACCTCGCTCATGTCTTCTAAATCTTGGAGCGGCGGAAAAGTTGGCTGGACGCTTGTCAACCGGTCCACTGGGATAGAAACTCCCATCATTTTATCAGCTTGATACTGAATCATATCAGCAAGGAAGTCAACCAACTGGTTACGGTCTGGAGGGCCTCCATTGTGGTCGATATACGCCCTTGTGGCTTCCAAAATCAAGCTCTCAATCCGTTCCCGGAACGTAGCGCGTACCATACACTATTAATGGCTCGTACAACATCCTCTGCACCTTGGGGTAAAAATATTGATTCTTGGAAAAAAGCTATAAACAGTTTTGTTAAAATTTACAAGATAACCAGCTGTCTTAAAGTATCAGACGATGACTCTGTCTTAAGACGGCTGTCTTATAGAGTATAAGACCGTCTTAAACATAAGACAGTCATTGTCTTAAGACGGTCATTGTCTTATACATAAGACGGCGTCTGAAACATTCAGGGGGATGTGGAGATTGTTTAGTCATTAAATTATAAAACTACTCCATCCTCCTGACACAAAAAAGACATCGTCTTAAGCATAAGACAATGACTTCTTTAAGACGGTCATCGTCTTAAGTTTTTTCTTATGCTTTAAGACAGCTGTCTGAGTGGGACTCACCTTAAAAGAGTGATTTTCTTTTTTCCAAAAAGAGTTTTTTCAATTACCTCTGTTTTACCTGGAGGTGCTGGAAGTCCAGAAGAGCATGTTAGGTCACGCTTTTGTCAACTTTTATCGCTAACCTTAGTTGATACTTAACCCTAATAGATGATTTGACGGGTTCGGTTCAAGAACATGTTTGAGGGATGACCGGTCGCGCCCGGCTCTGTGTGACGTATTGCTTAGCACTGATTCTACGGGCTCGACGCTTCCTTTCTAATTACTCATTCCGCAGCAGCAAAGTCAATTAGCAAGACCGAGGCTCATTTAGCAGAGACTGGCCATCGGTTTTGCTAAACACTTCTCTCGCGCATAATACGGATCATAGAGAGCTGCGGAAGCCCAGCCTTCAAACATCACACACTAGCACCTCCTCGACTAATACCAAAAGGTGAGAAAAGATCCATCACAAATCTTTCACATGTTGTTGCTTGTGTGTTCTATTGTGCCTTTGAATAATGGGAGGGGTATCCAATGGCGGTCATTCGAAACGAAGCGTACCTCTATCGATGGTGGGGTATCTGCCACGTAGAATCTGTACTGACGTCTACAGCGTTAAGAATTCTGCGTTGAACCCAACCGATCGGTGCGCTTCGGTAGTGGTCTTTTGAGTTGGGATAATCATCCCTTGCTGGATACCCCTCTTGTTGCCCTGGAACCCATTCCAAACACCGATAGACGCATGATGGACGGCAGCTGTGATCGTATCGTATTGGGAGGATTCTGATTGCCATTATCCAAAAATTTGGGGTTGAATCGTTCAGTCTTGTTTTTAAAGAACCCGACCTGGTCTCACACCATTACTCTTCCTGACGATGATCCTGCTGCAGCCAAGTCCAACCACCATGTCGTCCGAAAAGGCCCGCGACAAGATCCCTGCGGCAATCAAGAGGCCCACCAAGAAAAAGCCCAAGGATAAACCCAAGAGGCCGTTGTCAGCCTACGTAAGCGACATCACTGGATATCGTTGTTCCGGTTCTACCTCTCTCTTCTCACATACCCATGTTCCTCTTGTTATCTATTGACTTATCTTTTCAATCGGATAGAACTACTTCTTTGTAAGTACCCCTGTTGTCAGACTCGACGTGATCTGGCTGTCCGCAGGAAGAAGACCGCATGTTCCGCAAAATACTCACGCCATGTCTTCATTCGTATTCTTGGTTTTCCAGAAAGAGGAACGTCAAAAGATCCTGAAGTATGTCTTGGCGGAAGATCCCTCCGTTGTGGAGAACGACCCCAACAGCGATGACTACATTGACGATGCCATGTTCAAGCGCCTCAAAAAAGAGGGCAACAAGGTTTCATTCGATGAAATGGGCAAAATCATCGGTGCCCGTTGGAAAAACATTGACCCCGACCGTCTAGCCAAATATTCCGAATTGGCCAGTGAAGATGCCGAAAGGTACAAGAAGGAAATGAAATCCTACAACAGTCGCCAAGAAGCCAAGATGCGTTCCGAAGCCGTCAAACCGCCGTCATCGACTGCGTATTCCCACGGCGGTTCGCCGGGGCGAGGTGCCAGCCGTCCCGAAATGGCGGCTCCCGCAGGTCCCCACGGCATGGACCCCAGGGCAGCGCATGGCTACGACATGCAGTCGGCCTTTGGCAACCCCGCCATGGCCGGAGGTTACGGGTACGGGATGGATGCCTATGGCTACGGGATGGGAGCTTCCATGTACGGATATGCTGGGTATCCTCCAATGGCAGGAAGTCCGGAGCAAATGTACGCACAGGGTGGCATGTACCCGCAGCAAATGTACGGTCAATACCAGCAGATGCCGCCGGGTTACGACCAGGGATACGGCTACCCGGTGGACCAGTACGGGCAGCCGTATCCTCCTCAGGGGTACGGTGCTCCCTAAAAACCTGGAGAGGACGACTCAGACTTTTCTTTGGAGAGGAGAGGATCCCAATCATTACGATTTCCTTCCGGAAGGACGGGGAGAGCCAAGCAAAAAGGGTTGAGACTGAAAACTGTTTCGTTTCCTTTTTCATATATTAATTGTGCATATTCCATGTTGTGTGCTTCCAGTGGCTGCTACTTCCGTAGCATTAGTGTGGGCGTGCCGGGTCTGAAATTCATGTGTTCATACAAAACAACTAAAATAAGCAAGCTTCATATTTCTATTGTGTACTGGTCCCTTAAAGGTTGATTAGTTCTCGACAAGTTTTGTGCCCTTGATATCACAACTGAAGTAGTCCCGGTACCATGAAATATCTTGCGTTGCTGAGGATGGCTCGTCAAATGCGAATGAAAAGGGATGTGGCTTAGTTCCAGGTTCCAGTGGGAAGTACCAGAGCGCTCCAACCATCTTGCTCCTCTTGTTAGCCATTGTATGGCATAAGCATTGCTTTTGTATGTATTGTTTTTGTTGTTGTTTCTTTGCATCTCCTCTGTACTACTGTTGCACTACAGCTGAATATCCCCATCATTATATTCTTCCTTGAGAGCCCCAAACCAAGCTTGTGCGGCATCTGTCTTGTCGGCCAGAATCAAACTGCACATGGCACCACCTTCCTCGTTTAAAAATCTGAAAATCTGCATGAGTTTTCCATCCGCGGGACTTTCCTTTTCCGCCATGACAATTTTGGAGACTTTGGCAATCATCATGTGAAACTCAAAGGATTGATCCTCCGAAGCAAACGTGGTGAGGGGTTCTCCGGTTCGTGGCGATGTCCCCAATTTGAAGGTGGGCCCGAGCGTCGATGTGGTTTCGAGAATGGCTCCATTTCCCACCACGACCAGTCGAAAGGGATAGGATGAGGAATGCATGGCTTGCAAGACGTCGTAGACGGTCTGTGCGGGGGCACTGAGTGTGGTTGTTTTTTCCGCATCACTGCTGGTGGCTTCTCGTAGAGTCATGGTTGGTCCATTCTGATAATAATGATGATGATGATGATGATGATGTTGTTGTGTCCATGAATTCAAGGAGTGTGCATGGAACGCCGTGGTCCATGGAAGAAGAACCAAGAATGCAGCCGTGGAAATCTTGTGAAACCAGCTCATCATTGATGTTGTTAAAAGAGTTAAATGGTTTCTCTTTGTCAAAGCAACGAAGATGATAATCAACTCTCTCTGCTTCCCTATGCGAGGTTTGTTTTCTTGGTTGGTGTGATCAATCTACTAGCTAGTATCCAAGTCAATTGGCCTTGGGACTTGAGAAGGGGTGTCAAGTGAAAGATTTGAGAAAACTTCAACAATGACGTACCCTTACGTGTGCGGAGACTCGACCTCGACTCCATCGAACAGACGCCGACCAGCTTAGCAGGTTTTAAAAATTGTCATTGGCATCCCTCCAAAAAGCACCAAACCCTGTTTGCTCATGGACATATCAAGCCGAGACCGAAAGAACCACGAGCATGAGCTCCAGCAGCATGGATACTGGTGATCAAGAAGAAGAAGAAGTGACAGCTCCTACTAGAGTTTCGATAAGCAGCGAGGATGGTCTGAAGGAAAAAATGGCAGAAGCAGCAAAGATAGCTACCGGCAGTGCAGAACAAGATGATAATGGGGATGTCACTAATACTACAGATGCTGTACAAGAGCAGCTACCTTCCACCGCGGATGTTGAACAAAGCGATACGATTGCAGTTGCTACTACTACTGATGCTGATAATACTGATCCAATGGACGTGGCAAACGGAGGCCCTGACGATGACGTCGAGGAATCCAATGACTTGAAGCACCATATACCCTCCTTTGCTTCGACCAGTCTCATTACCGACGAAGGGGATGACGATAACAATGACAACAATGACAATGCTTTGAATGATGATAAGATGGAGGAAGACATGGGAGATGTTAATGCGGTCATGTTGACACAGGCAGTGGATGATGATGATGAAGCCAATAACTATGATTCATCAGATGATGATTCCGGAGAAGACGACGATGACGATGACGATGCTTCTGTACAGACCAGTGGCTCGCCTGCTCAGGCCAATACACCGATGGAAGTGAGGAAAGCCAGAATAGATCAGAAGAGAGCCGAAGCCGAGCAACGAAAACAAGGCTATGAGCGCCATTTAGGACTCGCATTTGAAATCAACGACCAGCAGCAAGGCCAGTTGACACCATCACCGCGCACTCCCAAGGAAAAAGAAAACAAAATCCATTATTACCAGGAACAGATACCACAGGGCATGTGCTTTCAAACTCCCTACAATTATTATCAACACAATGCCGATACAAAGGAAAAAGACGATGTCGATGCACAAGAAAAAGAAATCGAGTTCATCCAACAATTGGAGCAGAAGTATCCTTATCGACAAGCGCAAATACGACAATTATGGAGTCTGCTGTCGCCGGCATTGCCCTCGGACACTGCAACCACACGACACAATGCTCCGGCGCCTATTTTTGTGACGGGCCCACAGGGAACGGGGAAAACCACGCTGGTGCGAGACATGGTCGCGGGGTTGCAGCAGACCAGGACGTGCTGGACGATTGGCAGTCGCGTGGGATGTGCCTATGTCAATTGTGCCACGGCCATTACCATGGAGGAAATTCTCCATGATGCCTTTCGACAATTGGCAGCGGATATGAAACTTGGAAGACAGAAAAGTCAAGAAACACCCCGTCCAAAACGAAAGCGACCACCAAAACGAGCCACGCCAGTTCAGATGGGATTCTTGGAACGGGTAGCCAAGATGCGGCGAATGATGGATCAGGGAGAACCAGACACTGCTCCGGATGCTGTCAGCAACAACCAGGATGCGGTAGCTCCGACGGGCAAGGATGCTCCGGATTCTCCAGAACCCGTACCTACAGCACAACACGACAACAGTGACAATAGCGTCGAGGAAAAGCACGCCACACCCGGGTTTCTGTTTCAACCGCGACGATCGAGTAGGGTGCGTCATTGGGCAGAACCCAACGAGGCTAGCAACGTTGACAAGCAGCAACAGCAACAACAACAAGTCAAGCCACCACCCAAAATGAAAAAGATCTCCAAGGAGGCAAGCTTGGATCTCAAAGCCACTGCCCCCTCACCGTCACGAGGAGAAGAAGGCTTGACGTCCGCAACGATAGCCCGAACAAATGTGGCAGCGGCATCATTTGGACAACAAGTCAAAGAATCTCTCTTTAGACATTGCGACGATTGCGCCTTTTTGATTCTGGATGAGGCCGAGCGGTTGCTCTCACTGTCCACATCTTCTAGACAACACTATTTGTCTCAGTTGCTATTGCTGCCCCAGACAAAGGGGTTGAATCTGACAATCATTGTAATCACAAAGAGCGTCGCCTTGGATCACTCGCGTAAGTGCTGATGACGACAAGTTCCTATGCAAAGCAGCTTCATCTCACCTGACTGCATCCAATCATCTATCATCCAATGCAACAGGATTCGATAATTCGTTCAGCACCCTATCGAGTGCCATACAACCATTAAAGGTGCACTTTCAGGCCTACAAAGGAAAGGAAGCCTTCAAACAGGTAGGCTTGTTCTCTTTGACTCTTTGAGGTCGTGCACTGCGTGAAAGCATTGTGTTGCTTTTGGCATCTTACAAGCGTCTTCGTGTCTTCTTCCACATGACTTCAGATATTGGCTCAGCCAGCCCTGATAAAGCGAATCATTGGCCCCGCCATGTTTGCCTCCCAATCTTCCGGCAACGATCCCTTCTCACAAGCTGTAGTCAAGTCATTTCTCAACACACTCGTCCAGGGGCTGTACGGTTCCATTCGAGACCTCAAAGAGATGTTTCGACTGGGGCGCACCCTTTGGCCCAAGTATATGCTTCCCCTCCATTCTAGCCGGCTTGAGCAAACCACGAAAAGCTTACACAACCTGTTTCCCTCCTTGAAGAATGCACCGCTGTCCCTAGAGTCGCACTGGAAACAAATTGTCTCATTTCTTGACCAACAGATACGTCCTCATGTGAAACATTGCGTACAGGTGTCGATGTATTCCCTCGTGGGTGGGTCGTCGGACGGTCCCAAGTCTGCCACTAGAGCCTCACACGACAAAGCACTCAGCCTGTCATATCTGACGAGGTGCCTCATGGTGGCGGCGTTCATCTGTCAAACCAACAAAGCCGACAAGGACAAGCAAGTGTTTACCATCCAAAAGAATGGAAAGAAGAACAATGCAAACAAGAAAAAGAGCCCCGGAGAGGACTTGGCTTTTGGAGCCGCAAAGTCTGGCCTGTCCAAAAGCTATCGACCTCGAATGTTTCCCATGGAAAGGATGCTGTCGGTGTTTGTGAGTATTGTGGGTCTCAACAAAGAGAACCAAAAGGGGGCGAATGGAAGTGGAAGTGCTGGTGATATTGATGTTCAACCAGGTCACGTAGGGGACACAGACTTCTTTCAGTCCCTGTCAAATTTGCGTGACATTGGTGTGCTTCATGACAGACCCAGCTCCTCCACCACAGACGTTGCCAACATGATTGCACCAAGGTTTTGGTGCTCCTTGACACGAGAAGAAGCTGACGTTGTAGCCAGGAGCGTGAATTTCCCTCTACAGCATTTCCTCTATTGAACCCAGAATAACTGCTACTATTACTGTAGGTTCAGGAGCATATCGCTATCGATGAAAAATGGACTACGCGTCGTGCCGTATAGAGGTATAGATAGCACACGTTGCTGTCGAGGAGCCACGAGCTTGTGTGTGGTGTGCATCTTATGCCGTGGCGTAAGCCTTGCTTTGAAGCTGAGCGTAGTGCGGCAGTGATTCATTTAGCACTCGTTGTACTAGTAGTCGTTGCCATCGATGGTCTTAGTCCTCGAAGCTCCGCCCGAGAGCATGAGAGGACAACTGCTATGCCAGATACCGGTTGCCAAAGTAGTTTTTCCGTGCTCTCTAACAAACTCGGTCCTCTCTGTGAGGTGTATTGTTGGGGGGAGTAGTAGCAGCCTTGGCAACTACCCTGTCAAGGAAGAAGAGCGGCTGAAAACGGTACGTCTCCTCCTCCTTTTCTTCCGGCTTGTCCTCTGAAGGTTCTTGTCCTTCATCCACAGGTCCGCCGTCCTGCGTCTCGCTGCTGTCTTCTGTTTCCTTGGGTGGGTAGGTTTCATCGGGGTCTGCATTCGTTGTTGTTGTATTATCTCCTATGTTGGTATCAGTGTTATTTTCAAAGATTGGATCTGCTTCCAGTTCGGTAACGTACTCTACAGGATCGAGCTCTGGCTCGTCTCCCTTTCTTTGAAACAAGAGTGGAATGTATCCATAGTTGACAAAAAAGCCAGAAATGACACCGACGGTCTTTCGGCGAACGCTCTGCAAAACGTCGTAGTTGGTTTTCATGTATACCATTCCATCGAGAAATCGAGCGTATTGGTAAATGCCCACTTTGAGCATGGATGCATACAGCAGGGCACTGGCGACAATTCTTCCGTACACGACAAAGGATCCCGTTGGAATGTAATCAAAACTGAGAAAGCGGGTAATGGCGGGTGGTATTCTGGGCAATGACGTTTTCGTTCGCACTCGCCGTCTTCGTTTCCCGGCCATGGTGGGAATGGACGGTGCCACTTTGTCTTCTACAAAACGTGTCAATGTCCAGCCAAACGTTTCGGGTTGTCGCCGATGAGGAGCCACGCCTCCTCCCAGAATGAAGCATCGATTTCCCTGAAGACATTCTGCCGGGCTACTTCCATCGTATTGGGACGGAGTGGGCTGTGTTGTTTTTTCTCCATCCCAAGCAATGGCAAAGGGACAAGGTAGAATCTGGCTGAGCAATGCATCCACAGCAAAGTTTCCTTCTTGTTGACACAGATTTGGATGGCTTTCTGCCAAGAGAGATTCGACTTTTGTGAGATCTCCCACCAAGACGAGGCCCGCAATTTTGTCGGGTGCTAGACCGTAGGCTGCCTGAATGGCCAGAATTGCTTCCGAGTCAGAAGCCACCAAGACGGCCTTGGTCCATCTCGATTGTTGTAGTAGATTGGAAATCATGCATGCTGCTTCTCCATCCGTTCCCTTCCACCATTCTTGATCTGACTTTGTTGTTGTTGTTTCAGCACTGTCTTTACTATTATTGTTGTTGTTGTTGCTGCTGCCATTGATGGCTTGTTCGTCTCCATTATTTTCCTCTGGTTCGAGCGGATCTTGTTCGCAAGCAATCACACTAAACCCCCTGGCTGCCAGATGTTCCCCCGTCGTTCTCCAGTGATCCACATTGGACCCAAGCAAAATAAATGGGATGGATCCCGAAGCTCGTGTCCGAGATCGTCGCTTGGAATAATATCGGTATATAACGGGTGTATGCGGCAGCTGACCATCCCCATTGTTATTGGGAGTCGTTGTATCATTGTCGTCGGCACTGTCGGGATCGGTGGGACGCGGGAAAAAGTCTGGATCAAAGTCGGCATCGATATCGTTGGGATCGCTACCAAGGTGGTAGCTCAGTGGATCAAACAGAGAGCTCGTCAACCTTCGGGGTGAACTGGCTTGCACCACCACGAAAGGGTTCCGTGTCCGTCTCCAATTATCATTACGCAACAATAATGGTCTTCTGGAGTTGGGGGCTTGCAAATCCTCACTCGAGGCAAAGGACGACAGGAATCCACATGCTACTATAGAGAAATACAACAGCAAATCCATGGATAATAATGACATTGATTCGATTCGAATCCTCCTTCCTCTTCTTCTAGCTCTAGCTATCTACAGATAGCCAGCTGGTGACTAAAGTCAAAAAGCTTCAGAATCAAATAGTGAGGTTGTTGCTTCTTGTCTGAGTGATTGGGTGACTCGACTCAGTCACGCAATCTTTGATGGATACTATAAATATTGCAGCAAGTCTTTACAGTGAAGTGGTAAAGCGTGCCGTGCACTCGGCATTTAGATATTTACCAGTGTTGCGCACGGCCAAAATCAAAACGATGCGCTTGGAATGAATCCATGGACTTGTTGGCTGCATCAAACCATGGGTATTTGAAGCTTTTCAAAAGGGCTCGAGAGGGGGGCTAAGATACGTTAGGGTGCATCTCAAGGTGGGCAGTTTTGAGATTCTCATTTGGGCTCGAGAGAATGGATGCCCGTGGGCTTCCAGCGTACATTGCTGCTGCCAAGCGTGGTGATTTGGATATGCTGAGGAGGTGGTTACATGCGAATGAATGCCCGTGGAGTGCGATAGCCTGCAATCTTGCTGCGGAATATGGTAACTTGGAGATCCTGAAAATATGCCCACAAGAATGGACGCCCCTTGGAAACACTGTGCACAGTTGGTGCAAAAAGTGGACATCATGACATCCTCAAGTGGGCTAGAACATACCGGTATGGATGCCCATGCGAGGAATGGACATGTCAGGTTGCTTCTAGAATGGGCAAAAGAAGATTCTGAAAGGGCCCTTGCGAATGGATGCCCACGACCAAGACAAAAGGAGGTGATGACTATAACGCAACGCAAGAACGGGACACAACGACAGCGCTAGCTGGTGGGTTGAACTCTGTCTATGGACTAGCTATAGTCCTGTGCAGAATTCTCTTTGTGCAAGCTAACAGAAAGGAAAACATGTGTGATGTGAAGGAAAGAGTTTAGTATACATTGTGTTTGCTTCTACTTCTCGATTGCTTTGATGAAGGGTTCCTCCTTGTGTGGTGTTCCTGTGTTCCTCGTTTACCCGCCCGCCTGCCGGATGTTGGCTTGCCTCACCGGTACTTCCTTGATGATAGCTGTCCGTGGCCATGGAATCGACTAGATCCATCCAAGCCAGGGAGAAGCTTCACCAAGGGATTTCTTTAGTTGGCGGTGAGGTTATGTGGAATGATTAGAATGCATGCTGTTGTGTGGCGGTTGCCATGCTGTGCTGTGCTGTGCTGTGCTGTGCTTGTGCAGTTCAATGATTGTATGTTGTGTCGTTGGCTACCGGTAGAAGTACTTTGGAAGCAGGAAGCTCTGATTTGCTTGAATGAAGAGAGGAGGAGGCTCACTGATCATTCGTATTATTTGCAGAACAGAAAAAGAACTGAAAAACTTTCCTAGCTGCATCATGATCATTGGTGGGCGTTATCATCTCACTCTTCTTCTCGTCTACGGAAGAACTGCGAGCAGTATTGATGTTCCCACTGCCATCCACCAAATTGGCCAAGACGCTCAAAGCCCCCCTTGGCGTCGGTGCCTTCACCCATACCAATTCACCTCCACCCTTGGTAACATAAGGAGTTTCGTCTTGGGCGGGGTCGTCCATCGTCAGCGGGAGGGCTTGATTCTCCGTCTCTTCCCCTACAATACATGCAGGATCAGAAGCTCCTTGAGATGACTCAGCTAGCGTTGTCAAGTCCCTGGGCGAGAGGTCAATGCCATTAGCAGCAGTCTCCTCCTGGATATGCGCTTGGATGTCATTGGTAACGAGATTATCCATGTTAAGCGACAGCATTCTTGCAAAACGATTCTCCCCGCATTCTGGATAAGGAGTTGAAGCGCAGGCACTATCCAAAGTGCCTTGAGATGATTCAGGTGAAGTACCCGAATCGTTTGCAGCGAAGTTGAAGGGCGTACGTAGGAATGCTGGGCGCTGAATGTTATCTTCGTCGTAGGGAAAGACCATTGGTGTACGGGCGTCCAACATTTCACCATCTTCGAAAGATACGGTGGGAACCAAGGAGGGGGTGGACTTGATTTGGGCTACCTTTGCTGTTTTGACTGGCGTCTGTGGGGCCTTTGTCGCAGCTGCCAATTTCTCGCTGAGAACCTTGATTTCGTTTTGGAATGACATGACAGCTTCTTCTTCTCTCTTCGTGGACTCGGCAAGTTTAACCTCAAGCTTTTCAGTCTTCTCCATATAGTTTTGGAGTAGCATTTCCTTTTCGGCATCAGCGGTTTCAGCGTGATCGTGTTGCATTGCCACCATGGAGGTTGTCAAGCTGATCACTTTCTTGAGCGTTTCGACTTCTTGCTTGGTACGGATGACGGCATCTTCCTTCTTGCTCAGCTTACGCTCCAGATCGTCGCGTTGCTTCCCGAAAGCAGCAGCCTCCAACTTGAGCTCATCTTGCATCACTTGAAACTTTTCCAAGAGTTCCCCGTACTTTAGCTGCAATTCTCTATGTTCCTCTTCCAGCGACTGGTAGCTCACAAGGTGCTCTCGTTCACTCCTAATGCCCTCCAGCTCATTTTTGGTATCCTGCAGATCATTCAGTGTTTCGGCATGTTGCAACTTGAGCTCCGCCAGCTCCTCTTGCAAGATCAGGGTCTCAGCATACACATCGGTTTCATGCTCCCGAGAGCTAGCAAGCTTTTCTTGGGTGCTCTTGAGCTCTGTGAGCGTTTCGGCCTGCTTGATCTCGAGGGCGGAGAAGTCCTGTTGGAGCCGATCCAGTTTGGAAAGCAAGTCGGCGTCCGAAGAAAGCAGCGGTTGGTCGGCTTCACTACTGTTCTTGTGGTTGGAGGGACAAACCAATTCTTTCTTACTATTTGCTCGGTACCAATGAATAAGAGGAGTACGACGAAGAACAACGTCAGAGTCATAGTCCCTCGTTAGGACTTTAGGGCTAAAAGCTTCCAGAGCTTGCTCTCTGAATGCACCCTCCTGCGTTGCCGCTTTCATTGGCGACGTAGCAGGGGTTACGGGAGCGATATCGTCCCAATCGTCCTCGTCATCCGATTCGAAAGGCTGGTACTGAACTCGTCTCGTGCTGTTAGTAGATGCAATCACTGTTATGGTTCCTGCGCTTTCTTTCCACATCTTATTAATGGCAACGTACTTTTGTTGATGACGAGCCTTTGTGAGCAAAGAGTGAGGAAAATAGAATGGATATGGAGAACAGAAAGCAAAAGATGTGGCGCAGTAGTCGTTGGTGGTATCCTTCGCTGCCTGCGAAATTCACTTAGCAAACCGTGAACCAGAATGCAAGGGTTCTGGACGACCACGGGGTTTTCGGAACAACGATTGACGCGGTGCAGCCCGTTTTGTTATCCATGCATTAGCTCCAATTAAAAGGTGATGTTGTCATTGTTAGTCTACTTCTGGATTAGTTAGCACTAATAGGCACAGAATGATTCAATCAACCTTCGGCGAAAGGTATCATCGGAAAATCGGAAAGCTGGAGAAAGGTGGCCAGCTATCCTAATCTAGTACAGTATGTTGTACGAGTAACGGCGTACCGGTACCGGTACGGCAACCGCATCTCAGAGCTCGACTGCGAACACATGCTGCTTGTACACTACACGTGTACTGGGACAGATGTGTTCCGGTGGAGCACAAGAGCTTGGAACCAACGTTTGAGGTACATGTAGCTAATCTATTATTCTTAATTTAAAAAAAATAGCTATGATAGCTACCGGTACGTGTGTGTGAAACGGTGAAATCTTTTTCATGTGTGCACTGATTGATTGACACAAAGATTAGTAGTTATTATTTGCTACTGCGCCGAGGGCTTGCTTCATGTGTACACTGCTATTGGTTGTTCTTTGATTGAATCGAATCGAATCATTCGCTCACAACACTCTCAGGAAATGCTATGCTTCGCACTCTGCTCTTCAGCTAGCTAGTACCTAGATAGCTGGCAAGCTAACATGGACCCTTTTTAAAAGTCCAGTTACCAGGTAGCCAGCAGAACTTCAAAACTGCAACCAGACCACTAATAAGGTACTGCAGTGTATGTACTCAGCTTTGAGCCAAGTCCAAAATTGCCATGATCCTATCTACCGGTGATGCATCTAGTAAGAATCCAAGGACCCCAGCACCTTGGACCCCAGAGCTAAACCGTACATAGAAAAGAGTAAGGCCGTCGGTTGTGCTACTGGTACCGGTACGGTACATGTAGGCTAGCTAGCTAGCTAGCTAGCTAGCTAGAGTAGTGTGGCGTTGTGGCTGTGGTTTGGCAATCCCTTCAAAACCCTAGCTCTATACTCATTAGACTCTCACTTGCTCCTCAGAATTGCTCTGCCTCAAAGATTGCAAAACCATGGCGCTCGCGGACGCGACGGTTTGCGTGGTTGGACCGCAGAACTCCGCAGGAAAAAAGTCGAAAAGCACAATGTTGCTGCTTCGCTAACTTGCCAGTACGACTCATGTGCCACAACGCCGGATCATCACTTCTCCTCTATGATCATGGCTTCTCACGAACACCTCGATCAGTTGGCCAACTCGCCGTCGACGACGAGCGATGAGGAGGAGGATGGTCATGAGGACGCCGCTACTGTGGTGGAGGCTTCCACCATGAGCGTTGAGCACGATGATGATGATCCAATGGCAGTTGACTCTCCCACCTCCGCCACGAAGCCCAGGCTCAAGCTGAAAATCAGAGCGTCTATAACATCGACGGGGTCTTCGGACCATGCCGCTCTCAACGGCATCACGGCTGAAAGAGATAGGAATGGCGGTGATGAAAACGAGAAGCCCCCATCCACACTTCATATCGTCAAGAATAGTCCCCCTTCGGTGACACCTGTGGCTGTTGCCGTTGGGATGGAAGATGAGGAAGATGACAATGAGGAAAAGCCGGTCGTCAAAGCCTCTACGGCGGTGAAGAAGAAGACACCCAAAGATACGAATGGAGAAAAGAAGGGGAAAGCCAAATCACCCAATGGAGAGAAGAAGAAGAAGAAGGTCAAATCGACTGCGGCAAAGTCTAAAGCTGTCAAATCCGAGTCCAAGACAGCAAGTACATCCAAGGCTACTAGTAGTAGCAAAGCTGGCAAAACCTCCAAAACGAAGTCAGAAGATGGCGTCAAGAAAGTCAAGAAAAAAGTAAAGAAAGAACCCCCAGTCAACGGCGCGTCCACGCCAACACCATTGGCCACCGGACCTCCCAAAAAGAAGAAAAAGCTTCCAAAACTCCCGCTTGGAGCCAAGCGCAAGCTGCCGACCAAAGCTAATTCTCCGGCGACGGTCCCCCCTGAGCCTGCTGAAGCGACAGTTACTGTCAGTGCGACTGTCGTTGCCAGCGACGATGAAGTTGTCGACGCAGACGCTGTTGCTACCGTTGTCGTGGAGGCACCGGCAAAGCCTCCCGCTCCTGCGAAAGCCCCGGCTGCCACTAAGCGAAAGGCAGTCCAGGCGAAAGCAATTCGTTTGCCACCAATGACATCTCCAGGGCTGATGATCAGGGGCAACAATACTACGGAGTACACCACACCGCAGTCTGTCTTTGAGGGGTCCATGGCGGCTGCGGGGTACACTACTGAGGGAAGGACCAATGATCCACACAGAGGGTCCAGCGTGAAGCGGGTTGTGGGGGATATGTTTGATAGCAACGTGGCATTTGCTTTGAATTTTCCGACCATTGCGCCTACCGATATTTGGACGACGGAACGTGCCAATGTCCTCCTAAAGTCACTGGGAAATAGTGAGCAAAAGAAGGAGAGCGCAGGAACAAGCGAGGAAAATACGGAAAGGAAACGAGAAAATGGGTCTCGGAAACGTCCACGCACGCTGCAGGTATCAGAAATGCTTCCGGTATCCTTGACGCTTCCTTATCCTGAGAGCTATATTGAACAGGGTCTGCAATACGTGAAGGAGGTCCAAGAAAGGGAAACCGCAATCGTTCAACGCCAGGAAATGCAAGAAAAATTGGAAACTGAACAGGACGAAAAAGATATCAAGGCTGGGAAGATGCCTGAAGACGCGTCCGAACCACGAAAGATGGACAATCCGGTAAATATTCCGCCCATTCCAGTCCCTCCCGCAGCTCCGCCCCTATCGCAGTTTGACTTCAAGGGAATTGACGCCGATCAGTATGAGGGGACGCATCCAATCTATCTACCAAAGGGGAAGAAGAATTTTGTTGCTCATCTGGACAAGGATTGCTTTCACGCCACGGAAGGACGTTATTTTGGGCTCAGCTCCAATTTCATCGCCGATCCGCATTTCGTGGGTCCTAGCGCTCCAGGGTTGGCGGGGCTTACTCTCTCTGTGGGATCAGGGCTTGCAACAACCTCTACTACTTCGGGCAACAATGCTGCTTCCTCGGTCCTAGCAGCCCCTCCTCCGATTCAGGCTGCGAAGAGCAGCACAGGAGGGAATACATCTTCCGAAAAAGCTCCAAAGAAGGAAGCATCCTCCACTACCGGTACTACCAAGACAGCGAAGAAGACGGCGTCACTACCAACCGTAGCCAAAGCTGGGCCCAAGAGCAAGTTCAAGTTGAAGCATGCCGGTCCTGCGCCGACAGCAACTACAGCCGACTTGAGAAAGGTTATGGAAGGTTCAGAGGGGAAAGAAATGGCGGAAGAAACCAGGAGGTGTATCATACGAGCCGCGGTTCATGCAAGTCGGTCGGGGAAACATGGCCAGGCATTCTTGGCGCCTGATGGTAAAGCGTACCCAGATGTTTCAAAGGCGTTTGCAGCGCACGCAGGACTAAAGCCATGCAGTCGATGCAAAAACAACAAACAGGGGGTGAGTACCGCCTTGTTGGGACAGTGTGTTCTATTCGTTGTACTGCTGATGAATCGAATCCTCACTGGCTGTTTCCCTCGAAACTGTTCTTTCTAGGCATATCACTGTAGACTGAGACGCAAGCACAAAGAATTAGACTATGACGGTGGTGACAGCCCTGCTGAACTTTCCCCATTGCTAATGTATCCTTTGGAAGAACTTCTTCTGAATCCCGCTACACTTAGATACGGCAGTAAATAGAACATTGATTTTTTCAACAGTTCAAAGCAGATCAGATACGGCATGAGCAAGTTGCTACCGGTACTGGCGCATGCAGAGTGCGTTTTGCACAACCAACTGAACACACTGCGCAGTGGCTACTTGCAGAAAGATCTGAGGTGGGCTGAATGCTACGAAAACTGAGCACGACCATCGCCATCTCGGCTGGTCCGAGCTGGCAGCCACGAAGTGTGCATGCCAAGATTCTCACCGCTATCAAACTAGCGAATAGTTGAAGTGAACATAGAGGCAGTCGATTATCTCCGTCAAAGAGGATATCATTCTTGGGCGTCGGTGGCGCCAATTATTCATGTGCTGCCAATGCCATCGCTACCAGGTGCGAGTACCGTAGCTCTCACCAATCTCTATCTAGCAACAGTTATCGCTTCAAGGCCATCGAGTCTACGACGATATCTGCGTGTGCCTTCGACTGCAAAACTGTCAACGCATTCTTACGATCCACTCGTTCGCATCGTTCTTCAATCTCCTCTGGTGTGTAACCTGGGATGCATTGGTTACGGATCTTCACTCGTTCCACACAGACATCCACATCTGCATTCATGAAAATGGAGAAATTGAACATGGAGGCAATTTCCTCCCAGCCATCCTTGTCATGTAGTAGGTAGAGACCCTCACAGAGCACAATTTTGTGTTGATTTCTATCGAAGATGTGGGTGTCCGGTTCTGGATCACCAGTGGCATGGTCAAAAGCTGGAAGCTTGATGAGTTCTTCATCTCCGTCCCTGATTCTGACCAAATCACGCAGTAGAGCTCGAGGATCAAAGGTATCAGGAGCACCACGGCGATAGATGGCATCTTCTGCATCAGGAAATGTCCGCAAGTACTCCAATGGATAATGGTATCCGTCATGTGGGCAGATCATGGTTGGAAACCCCCGGTCTTCCAAGATGCTTGCCAGGAGCATGGCAGACACAGACTTGCCACCTCCAGGAATTCCAACAAGTGCAACCATATAAGGCAATTTGAATGCACCTCCGTCGGTTGGATCGCTGCCTTTGTCAACAACGCCGCAGATTCGATCGGCGATTTCAGGCTCCCAAGAGCCCACAAACTGCGATGCTGGTGTGGGTTTTGGATTTGTCGATGTTGTTGAAGTGCCCGGAACGGGGGAGTTGCATCTGCTGACCATTGGAGAACGTTGATGCGTGTTGATGTCCATGGTCCAGTCGGCATGCTCATGGTTGGTATCGACTTCATCGGTATCCTTTTGTGCCAACATTGCCAGTGCCAGTCCCTGGGAGGAAGTAGCTTCGTTTTTGTCGATGTTGGTTTGGATAACTTTGCTCCTTGATTGGACAACAATATCGGCACAGTGCTTGGACGCCATGACCGTCATGGCGTTGACTCGGTCCACCTCTTCACAGCGCTTTGCGATTTCTTCTGGAGTGTAACCGGGAATGCAAAGATTGCGTATTTTGAGCCGCTCAACACAGCTGTCCACATCTGATTCGATGACTATTTTCAAATCAAATAGAGATGCAATTTCCTCCCAGCCATCCTTGTCGTGTAGTAGGTACAGCCCTTCACAAATCACCACCTTGTGGATGGATCTGTCAAAAAGATGAATGCCAGGTTCTGGGTCTCCTTTGGCATGATCAAAGCCCGGAAGAGAAATTGTCTGCCACTCTTCTCCCTCGCTGCTATCCTTGCCGTTGTCACCACTGTTCCCTGCTCGAATAAGCATCAAGTCTCTCAAGAGCGCCTGTGGGTCAAATGTATCCGGGGCACCACGGCGGTAAATGGCATCCTCAGCATCTGGAAAGGTTTTGAGGTAGTCCAGAGGATAGTGATATCCATCATGTGGACATATCATTGTTGAGCAACCCCGTTCTTCTAAAATATTTGCCAGCAGCAATGAAGACACTGACTTTCCACTGCCCGGAATTCCAGACAAGGAAACCATACAGAAAGGGTATTTCGCGCTCTCATCTTTCTCCTTGGCCTGCACAAGTTCCCAAATCTTGGTGGCCACATCTGGCTCCCAGCTCTCTTCATAGGGACCTGGTGCTGAGCCGTCGTTGTTCGAGTTGGTTATTGTCATCGACTTCCTGCAAGTATTATTTTTGACACAAAATAAATAAAACACCGTCATTTCTTTTTCTTGTTCCGATTTTGGAGTTCGAAAGGCTCCACGTCACCCTTTTTGGTTTGGAAAAGATCGGTTTGTGCACGTACCATAGCTCTATCCCTACCGATACTAGAGTACAGGACCTGGTACCATCGTCGAACAAATCCTAAGTAGCCCCAATACCGGTAGCGGTGGTTGGCTTTGGCTTTGGCTTTCTGGAAAGGGAAGTCGCAGTTGGTGGGCACTGTGATGAGAGGGTAGAGTTCCAGAGGCTCAAAGGATGCCGAATTTAGTACCGTACATACCGTACCGTGTGGTAGTTTTACAAAGCCTCTTGAGTAGTTTAGCTAGCTAGTTGAAGTGCCACAAATCTACCCCCTCCTCCCGTGAAATGCTCTTGACATTATTCTCCAGTGCCCCGTTGGTTCTGTAGAGCGCGACACAAACCACTACAGGAAGCTCGGGGAAGCAGCTGACATCCACCACTTTCGCAACGGCTGGTGACATGGCCATTGGCGTCTCGACAGAGCCAGACTGCTGCTTATTGACATCAGACTTGTGTTTTTTACGCTCGGGAACATCCTTTGGTTTTCCCTTGTCAATCTTTCCAAAGGAAACTCCTTGCAGAAGTTGCCGTTGTGTCTCTGCATCCTTGGCAAGCAATGAAAAGTGCACAATGGGAATTTTAAGGTTCTTATTGACATAGAATCCTTGTTCAATCTTTTTAGAGTCCACGTCCACAAAGCAATAGACTCGTTTGCGACAGGGTTCCGAAAGCGCCTTGACAAAGTCTTTCCCATCGCGTCCCGCACCCCATACGACAAAAGATCCCTTGTGTGGATTGTTGGTTGACCAAGCGTTGTCGCTTTGGTAGTTGGACAGAACACACTTTTCAAAGGCCAGTGCTCTCAAATGCAGTAGCAATTTTCGAGATGTTTGAGAGCTCTGTGACTGATTGGCTCGATGCCGATACGTCACCAGAGGCACATCGGGACGATGCAACCGCAGCAACCCACGGGCATGCAAATGAGCATGAAAGAAGCGCAGGTCTTCGGCGAGTCGCAACGATTCGGGAGTGTCAAACGTTGGATGGACCAGCCGTAGTATATTATTGGTGCTGCTGCTGGTTGTGCTGGACTGGTCCGGCTCAATGTATCCCCTCAATTCTTGAAACCGACTCATGCACAACATCCACGTTGGCTGTAATACGGTGACTTCCCTGAACTTTTCAAGCCACAATCGTTCGTCTGTCAAGCCATTGGCCCATTGACAATAATGCCAGGTACTATCCGGAGGATCGCGCACAATTTGGCATCCCAGGAGTGTTCGATGTCGCTCTTGTGGGGGGAGAGCCAAGAGCGCACTGCATTGTTCGGCCACCCGTGTTTCGTGCATCAGATCGTCGCTGTCCAAAAGGCAAAGAAAGCGATTTGCAGGATTTTGTTCATTAGTTGCGTGTTTGCCGCTCAACTCGGCCGCTCGGTTGCGTGCATAACCGGCGCCTCTGCCTGTACCATCCTTGCTTTTGGCTATCAGGAGTGTCGCGTCAATGGGAATATTTGTATCCTTTTGGTCGGGAGTTGTAGTGTCTGTCTCCAGCTTTTGTGTGTGGTATTCTTTTTGTAACCGAGTCAGGATATCCCAGCTCGAATCCGTGGATCCATCATCAAAGCAGCAAACCTGAATCACAAGGGTAATGTCTTGGAAAGCAGGGATCAGATGGGCTGGTATCACTTGGCGCATTGCTGAGCGGATGGTCTCTTCCAGAGTTGCTTCTGCATTGTGCACAGGAACGATAATGTCACAGATGATCATTGTCAGGTGGGTGGTGGGTTGCTCCATTTCTGTCATGATCGATGAAAGATGAAGAGATGGCCGCCGCCATTGTCCCGTTCCTGTCAGAGAGGGGAAACGGTTGGCCAAAAAATGAGGCTTACTTTAGCAGACAGGGATAAGGCTAAACAGTGGCGGGAGATTGATCATTCAAAAGGCTTCCGAGCTGGTTCCACTCTTCGTCTCATTCGTCTCCGGTGGCGGGATACCCCTGCCAGTCTTCCACATAGTTGCTCGGTACAGCAGGAGTAACTTGGTTTGGAAAGCAAAAGCCAAGATAACATACATCGCCTTGACTTGACGACCATGCCAAAGGACAATGGGGAGCTGACAGCTGCTGAGAAGCACGAGGCAGCCAGAGCGTTTGCGTTGTCGGGGACCTTGTCCAAATTTCAACGAGCCAAGCAACGGAAAAAAGCTTTGGAAGCGGCCATTACGACTGCCAAGGCTCCTCCCCCCGCGAGAGCATCCTCCAAGGCAAAGGCACCCAAGCCGCAAAAGAGGAAGCAGAACAAGAATGACAAGAATAGTTGGCCGCAAGTCCAACAAAGTGACTGGCAGTACGTGTATATTGCCAAGGGACCCTTTGCTGGTAGATTTGGGTATTACGATGATCAAGAAGAGGACAGCGCCGTTATCTACTTTGGGGCGCCGTTGTTGGGAGAGGGACCCTATTGTGTTCCGTTGGAAGACTTACGAGTCCCACCCAAGAGCTACTGCAAGGATTCCTACACTCCTATTTGAATGAATGAATGAATGGCTTCATTTGTTATTATTTATACCCCCTACATCATTTCCAACAACAACAATCTATCTGTGCAGAATGAATCGGCTAGTTGGATGACAATCTTCATTCATTTTTCCAAATTGCAAATCATGTAATGTATTCCATACAGGCAGCACACAAATCTCATCCAAATTTTAGATGATTATCTGGCACAAATTACAGAATGATATCTTTTAGTGGAATTGAATCTCGCATTGGGCGCAGGTCCTTGGTGATCATTGATCATGTCCGGACCTTAAAACTTATGGGCATTTCTATCTTTACTCAATACCTATTGATAAGTCTCATAGTTAATCGTGTCTGTTGAATCTTCAGAGTCTCGAACAAAGTCAATCACCTGGGCCCAGAGCACAATCGACAATCGACTTTGGAAACAATAGATTTGTTCTTCGTTTTGCATGCAATACCTTTCTTTCGAATATACCTAATTTCCGCGCAGGGTTGGCTAGTACACATACAGTACCGCAGCTAGCATCCATGCCGGTATACCTGTGGCGTTTGCCAATGACAAACAACATCATGTACGGTAGGTCCAAGGTGTTGAATCTGTTCTGCATGGTTCCGTAGCTTTAGCTAGCAACCAGGGGACGTTTCCATTTCTTTGGCCCCAACAAAAAACACGTTTGCGTGGACTTTTCGAAGATCCAAGAGGTCCTGCAAGGCACAGTACCAGCAAGTAGACTTGGCCTGCGGCTGTTGCCGCCGACGGCCGCAAAAACCACAGCAGAATACATACACTTACTGTATCTCAACCAAGGAGGAATAAAGGGTCTCCCCAGTATGAAGAGCCACAGGTCGTCTCTTTAGATATCTAATTGTAGAACAGGGGGAGAAAAGAATTCTTTAAAAGCAAACAATGCTATGTCCAAATTCACGAGTTGGCAAAAACTACCAGGTCGAAAAAAAACGCAACTCAGAAGGCGACTAACTCGATTGCATTTGAGCGAGGGCTAAGGTTAGCTCCCACCAAGGAAATGCCGACTACGACAACAACAGCCATGCAAATAACTCGAATCGAAGATTCCCTGCCACCGCCTCAGCTGGGGCTGGGGGCAACAGTAACTATGCAGCTAGTAAAACACCTGCACAAGTATTTGCCTTGGTAGGTGAATGCTAAGGAGATAGTCCCCCAAATCCCCTCAGGGAATTGGGGTAACACAAATTAGTGCTACTAGCTTTTAGAAGGGAGGTGAGGGTGGGCAAAAAGCAAAATTCCATGGTCCAAAAGCATGTTGGTGGCATCCAGCAATCAGGAAACCAAAACAGTGGGCTGCTTTGGGTTGATTGCTGGCTCCTTTAGCCACATACAGGGTGGCGGGCCAGACTGGTCACTCCAGCAGACATTATGCCCTGCTGGCTTGGAGTCTTGGCTTCAAAGAAGTTAGACTCAGACAGGTATTTCGTCTCCTGGAGACGATTTGCTTTAGGGGTAATGGTACCGATGGGGGCAGAGGTTTGAATTATACCCGGCGCGCATTACTTAGAAGGCCCTGTAGAAGTCTACGTATTCGACTAGCGACTAGAATTGTATTGACGGGATACAGTAAACGCATGTACATGCACAAGAAAGTCGCCTTGCGTTCTTTACATTTTAAAAGTTGGTTCCTAATTTTTCGGGGTCACCTGTGATTTGATTGGACGCCTGATCTTTTTTCAATGACTGACATTGAATGACTTACGAGGTGCAATGCGAATCTCAGAAGGGTAGTTGTAGTAATAAAAGTTTTTATATATAGATTAATTTACCCTATTTCCCTACCGTTTATACTTATAACAAGAACCCGGCTTCTCGCTGGAACTTCATCCCGTATTGATCTTTTCCTAGGACAGAAAGCCCAATAGTATCCTTTAATCTTGCAAGCATGTCTCTCATTCATTGTGGCATGGCAAAGTTCTTTGGATCCCATCCAGCTTCTTTTTTCAATAAGAACAAAGCACTCATGGTTCGCACCCTGGATAACACCACGTAAGCCAGTTTTGACAGTATCGCCATGAATGTACCAATAACCACACTGGCTGCAGTATATCCCTGTAATTTGTGTCCAGTTGTGGCAGAATTGCTGATAATCGCGAACTGCTTACCCTTCATCTTGGTGTTGTACAACTTCTCCGTCATAAAAACATCTGGTACTGAAAGTGTAGTCTTGCTTCGTTACATAAAAAGTACGTGGCATATTAGTCTCCATTTCATGTTCAACAAGGATAGATTTGACTTGACCTGGGAAAAAAGCCCGAATCTTACAGCCGTTGTCGAGTTGAAAAATCATGGGGGTGCAACCATC